GCCAGGGGTGCGGGGCAGCAGGGAGGGCTCCCCTCCCCGCGGGCCCTCCGCGAGCGACGCCGCCCGGAGGCCACGGGGGGTCCGTGGCCGAGGCGCGTCCAAGGGGCCGCCCCCGAGCCGACGTCGCGGAGGAACGCGGCACCGTGGATCCATCCTGGCACCGTGGAGAACGCCCAGTACGATGAGGGTAAAAGGCAAGGACGCACAAATACATACACACAAGTCCTAGGATTCTTCATCTGTTCCCCCCACATGTTCTGGGTGTGCGTCTTCCCCCCCCCCCCCCCTGTCCATGGCGTCCCATCCTGCGAGTCGACGGTTCGTTGTGTCTGTGTGTTTTCCCCTCCTGAGAAGGCATTGGGCGCTTTTTTGATGTTTCGCGACGCTGTGGGGAGCCCCCCCAGCCTCCTCAGCCCACACGGGGTCGGAGGGAGGCGCCGCGAAGGGCGAGGAGGGTGGCAGGCTTCGCTCCCGCAGGGCAGCCATCGCTGCCTCCGAGGCTGCGGAAACAACACGGGCGTGCGCCACATCACGACTCGCACGCTTTTTTTTATCTCTGTAGGCCCTGCGCGCGCGCAGGGGGTTCATGCATGCATTCAGGAAGAGGGGGCGGCAGGCCGAGGCTACCCGCGCGCCCACACGGCCGCCAGCTGCGCCTCCAGGTCCATTAGGAGGGCTGACGTCGCGCCTCGGAGCTCGTCCGATGCCGACCGCCATTGGCCCGAGGCCTTCTCGGGCGCGGTCGGGCTCGGCTCCGAGTGGCGCTCCCGCAGGTCATCCGCCGAGAGGTCCGCGCAGGCGCCCTGCTCAGCCACGGCCTCTGCAGCAACCACACTGCCGTTCGTGCCCTCGGACGCCTGCGGCAGCACCTCGCCACCAGCAGCCTCGGACAGCCCGATGGGCTCCGAGGTGCCTGCAGCGCCGCCGCTCAGGGCGGCCTCCTGGGCGAACCCGCCGCGGGCCCGCGCGCCGCTGCCGTGCACCAGCGCCGTGCCCCCAGCAGCGGCATACAGCGCGTCGAGCTCCGCGATGCCAGCAGCGTTCACCTCCGCGTCGTGCGGCTTCACGAACTCGCCGCGACCCTGGGACTGCGACTTCGGTGGGCTGAATCCACCTGTCCCAGGGCCGGGCTCCGCCGCGGCGGCGTACCTGGAGTCGGCCTCGCCGCCGAGCTCCGCCGCCAGATCAGCCATCAGCTGGTTCAGGTCGTCCTGGACGCCGAAGGCCTCGTTCGCCGACCCGAAGACCTCCTCCACGAAGGCGTCGTGGAGCTCGGCTAGGTCGCGGGCGCGGGCGGCCGCAGCGCCCTGGGGGCCACCGAGCTGCGGCCCGCCGCTCCCGCCGTCGGCGGCCTCCAGCTCCGCGTCGATGCCGTCGGTTTGCGCGTGCTGGCAACCCTCGCCAAGAAGCGCCTCCTGCATGGGGGCGGCGTAGGCGATGAGGTCCGCCAGCAGCTGGTTGGCGTCGTGCGGCGTGTGGGGCACGCCGCCGCCGGGCGCGCCAGCGCCGATGAGGCCGAGGGGGACGAAGGGAGGCGCATCCGCCCTCAGCGCGCCGTCGGCCGCCGCGCGCCGCTCCAGCCGGGGTCCCCGCTGCGCAGAACGTAGCTCCGCCGCGCTGGCCGCCACGATGTCCATGCCCTGCGCCTCGGCATGGAGGGCGACGTTGCGGCGCAGGCGCTCGAGCCAGGATGGGGTACACCCTCCCAGCGTGGCCTGCAGCGCGGGGAGCATCGTCTGCAGCCTGTGGGCCACCTCGCCATCCCCGATGACCGCGCCCAAGGCCTGCTCCGCGGCCTCCAGACGGGCCCGAATCCTCCCCAACTCGCCCGTCAGCCGCCGCACGGCGTTGTCGGCGGACCACTTAGCCCACTGCCGTCCCGCAGCACGCTGGGCTGCCGAACGCTTTGGCGCGCACTCCGCGCCATCCCGCGCCATCCTGGGTCCCGCGCGCCCGAAAGCGGGCGGACCTGGCCTTGAGCCAAAATGGCTACGGACGACTCGCACGCTTGGACAAGGAACCATTGGATAGGGAATCCATGGCCTGGAAGCCGCTGGAGCACCAACTGAGGCTTGGCCACGGACACCACCGCCACCCTCAACCGATGAGGAACTCCTCAGGGTCTGCAGCCACCTGGGCGCACTCCTTCACGAGCGCCCCCGCCGTATGGACCGAAGCGGCTCTCCTGGCCACGGCATCGGGCAACGACCGGAGGCAGGGCGTGCAGCGAGGACGGGTGTGGCAAGGGCGCAAGGACCCTGGGAGGCCGAGGTTGGGATTTTGTTGGGCGGCGGGCGACCCATGAAAACGGCAAAAGACGGGCCGCAGAGGCAAGGACACACGGGTACCCTTGAAAAGGCGCGCGTCCTTGCTATGCGCGTTGGCTGTACAGGATGGATGTAGAGGGGAAGTGATTTCCTCATCGAATATGAGACAAAGTGCGCAGAAATGTTCGTAGATCTACGAACATCTTGCGTCGTGCCCCGAGGTTCGACGGCAGGTTCATGTTTGTGGTGAACCAAGTCTACAAGCGAGCTCCTACTCGAGAGCTCAAGAGAGCGCGCGGGCGCTCGCTGAGGAGACGGCACGGGCGCGCGACGACACCGTCGCGCTCGCCCCCTGGCGTTCTGGAGCCGACGGCCAGGGACGCTGGGCGGAGGGCCCAGAGAGGACGGCCCTCGCCGTGAGCGTCGTGGAGACGGGGCACGCTGCCGAGGCACCGAGGTAGCCGAATCGCTCTTGGTGCTCGGCACGCTCCTCGGTGTTTCGAAGTGTGGGGTCCTGAGGGGTGGGGCCCTGAGGACAGGGAGGAAGCTAAGGGTGGACTTACACTGTTTGAGGCACCTCGTCCCCAGGACCCCACCCCTCAGGACCCCATCCTGGAGCCCCCGAGCGCCATGAGAGAAGTTCAGCGGCTGCAGGCTCGGACGACGAGGACGGGCACTGTACCCTCAGGACCCAGCCGCCACCAGCTGCAGCGCGGGGAGCAGCGCGTGCGAGGACGGCGGGCCTCGGCATGGCGCGCTCCAGCGTCGCCAGCGGCAGCGCTGGGACCCCGAACGCAGGCGGCCGGCGGCCGCCACCGCCCGCGGCGGTCAGCGCACCCCGCGCGGCGTGTGGCGCGGCGCGCTGCGGTGGAGCCGCCGCAGGCCGTGCAGAGCATCCCGGGAATGCGCTGGGCCGACGAGCAGGCGGAGTCCAGCCTGGAGGAGTCCCGCCAGTCCTCTGGGCGCAGGCGGTCTAGAGCGCTTCCTCTTCCAACCCTCTGTCTTCCCCTTCGGGGAGGGGTTTAGCCATCCCCCTTACCCCCTCCCCTGGACTTGGGTCGGGGTTTTCGCGAGGGGTTGGAGCGTCCAAGATGGCCCCAGCGCCTCAGAAAGCCCAAGATGACCTCCAAGATGGCTCAAGATTTCACAAGATGCCTCAAGATGGCTCCCAAGATGCTCCAAGAGGCCCCAAGAACGCTCCAAAATTGCTCTAGGTGGCCACGGAGCCTCCCCAAGAGGCCGCCAAGGGGCCCAAATCCTTCCAAAACCGACTGCAAATCAATGTTTGTTGCTTTCTCGCCTTTTCGCTTCCGATGGCCTTCCGAGGCCTCAGGATGGCTGCAAGATGGCCCAAGAGGGCTCCAAGCCAAGAGGGGCCCAAGGGGCCTCCAAGACGGCCCTGCAAGAGCGCCCCAAGAGCGCTCCAGGAGCGCCCCAAGAGGTGATCTGCTGAGCACCCGAGGGGGGGCCCTGACGGAAGCTCCCCTCTCTTGTTGATCGACGTCTTCCAGGATGGCTCCCCTGAAGCGCCCTTGAAAGCCCCCGTGGAGCGCCGTGGCGCGAGAGGGCCGAGCTGGGCGCCGCTGCGGCCTCGAGCGGGGCGCTGGGCGCTCGCCCTCCCCGTGCGCGCGCGCCGCTCGGGGCGGCCTCGGCGGAAGGCGCCCTCGGCGGGGGCGCAGGGGCGCCCGAGGCGCTTCGGGGCCGCGCGGAGGCCGGAGCGCGGCCGCCGGCCGGGCGCAGCGGCGGCCCGCGCCTCCGCCTCCTCGCCCCGTCGGCGGGGCCGCTGGAGCGGGGGGCCGGGCGGGCCTCCCCCGCCTCGCGTGCCTCCCTTTTTTCCCTCGGGGTGTGGCGCTTCCGCCGCCTTCCCTCCCCCGCCTGCCCTTCTACCTCCTCCTCCTCCTCCTCCTCCTCCCTCCTCCTCCTCCTCCTCCTCCTCCTCCTCCTCTCCTCCTCCTCCTCCTCCTCTCCTCCTCCTCCTCCTCCTCCTCCTCCTCCTCCCCCTCCTCCTCCCCCTCCCCTCCCCCTCCCCCTCCCCCTCCCCCTCCCCCTCCCTCCCCTCCTCCTCCTCCTCCTCCTCCTCCTCCTCCTCCTCCTCCTCCCCTCCTCCTCCTCCTCCTCCCATCATCATCATCATCATCATCATCATCCTACTCCTCATTCTCATCGTCGACGTAATCATCACATCACCATCAGCATCATCAGCAGCAGCATCACCATCATCGTCGTCATCGTCGTCATCATCATCATCATCATCACATCATCATCATCATCATCATCATATCATCATCATCATCATCATCATCATCATCATCATCATCATCATCATCATCATCCTCATGATCATCCTCATCCTCATCCTCATCCGCAACTTCATCAGCAGCAGTTGCAGTAGGAGCATCACCACTACTTCCTCCTCTTCCTCCTCCGCGTCCTCCTCCTCCTATTCTTGTTACCACCCATCCACTCCCTCCGCCCCTTCCTCTTCATCATCATCATCATCATCATCATCATCATCATCATCATCACCATCACCATCATCATCATCATCATCATCATCATCATCATCTCATCATCATCATCCTCATCATCATCATCATCATCATCATCATCATCATCATCTTCATCCTCATCCTCATCATCATCCTCATCCTCATCCTCATCCTCATCCTCATCCTCATCCTCCTCCACTTGGTCCTCCTCTCCTCTCCTCTCCGGTCGTCTCTTCTCCAACCACCTCCTCCTACCTGTCGTATCCCTGTTCACTCATCATCTGGCCACGCCCTCACACGGGAAGCCATCCCACGGAGCTGCCGCGCCAGGAGCCGCGCGCGGCGTCCGGCCCAGGAACCTTGGTCGGCCGACGACGGAGTGACGTCTCACGCTAACACGTCCAACAATACCTCCTGCATTTACCCTCGCAGTCCTTCTTACTCTCCCGTCCACCCTGACTGTGCTCCATCCTCCATCCTGGACAATCCTCGCCACCCCCCGCCACATCTACCTTTTTCCTCGCCGTTTCTCTTCCGTCCTCTCCGCCCACTTCGACGCCCTCTGCCTGCCACTGGGGGCACAAGTCGGTTCCGCCAGTGGTCGGTTTCGCCAAGGCCCTCCGATCTTCGGGTGCGCCGAAGGGGAGCAGGAGGAGGAGGAGGAAAAGGAGGAGGACGAGGACGAAGTGGATGAGGAGGAGGAGGAGGAGGAGGAGGAGGAGGAGGCGGAGGCAGGAGGGAGGAGGAGGACGACGAGGAGGAGGAGGAGGAGAAGGAGGACGAGGAGTAGGAGGAGGAGGAGGAGGAAGAGGAAGAGGGAGGAGGAGGAGGATGAGGAGAGAGGAGGGAGGAGGAGGAGGAGGAGGAGGAGGAGAGGAAGGAGGAGGAGGATGGGGAAGGGGAGGGGAGGAGGAGGAGGAGGAGGAGGGAGGAGGAAGGAGGAGGAGGAGGAGGAGGGGGAGGGGGGGAGGATGAGGAGGCGGAGGAGGAGGAGGAGGAAGAGGAGAAGAAGGAGCAGGAGGAGGAGGACGAGGACGAGAAGGAGGAGGAGGACTGGACTGGACTGACACGCTTACGACCCTGGTTAGATAGTCCTGCCAGCAACGCATTGCTCATGAGCAATAGATATGTTCGAGGATCTGCGAATAGCACGGGGCTATACCCTGCAGCCTCGCTGGGGGAAAACCACTGGCCCTAAGCAGAACCGCCTTGTGGGGAAACAAACCCATGACGGCCGACAAGGGCACCATCCTCCAGCGGCAGGCTCGCATTGGAAGGGAGAGTCGAGAGTCCCCTCCAATTCAATCCTGGGCCACGGCCCAGCAACGACAACGAAGAGGGGGGACGACGGGCGAGAAGGAACAATACACTGCAGACACAACGCGCACACACACGCGCATACGCCGCACGGAAGCCAGGCGAAGGAATAGAGCAGGCAACAGCAGCAACCGCGGGAGGAACAGCAGGCAACGGAGGGGGCCGTGGCGTTAAGTGCGGAACTCTGGCTCAGGTGGAGGCACGGGCGAGGGCGGAAGAGAAGGACGAGCAAGCAGCGCACTCGAGGCACGCCCATCAGCAGCGAAGGGAGAGGACTCGAGGTTAGTGGGGGCCGTCCTGACCTGAGCGGCCCTCTGAAGTTCAGAAGGGCCTGAACGACCGTTAATTTAAACTCTACGGGCTCAGAATAGCACGCTTCGGATTTCACCTCCCCCGATTGATACTGTAGAATGGGTTGGGTGCTTTGCCTCTGGAGGATCTCTAACTGGGCGTGCCCAAGATGGCCCAGCTGGGCCAGCTCAAGCATCCGAATTGAGTTCCGAATTTAAACAAGGCGAGCAGATTGCCACATCCTCTGCCCCGGCTGCCGATCAGAAGCCCCGTGCCTGGAACTGTTCGCAACGGGAGTCGCTGAGCTGCCAGACGGAGAACTGCTCGCAGCCGAGCTGGGAGGCGCCGAAGTGGCGCGCGAAGTAGGTGGGATCAGACAGGCCCCCCTAAGGGAGGGATGCGGCAAATGCTGGCAAGCCTCCTCTTCGGACAGAAAAAGCGGCTCAAGTGACCTCCAGGAACCTGCGGGCTCGCCTCAGAATCCTGGCCAGGAAGGGGATGGCGCCGAGCGGCCTCAGACACTTGCAAACTCGCCTTGCAATCCTGCCAAGAGGCCTGGCAGGGGCTCAGCGGGCGAACAGCCTCAGTGGAATGCCATTCCGTCTGCCACATGCTCGGCCACCTCCTCGGGCGCCATGCCGAGCTTCTGGAGAAGACGCCCTGCATCCCGTTCCAGGGCCCCCATGCGGCGCTGCCCCCGCTGCGCGTTCGCCGCCCCGGTTGCGAATGCACACCTGGAGCGCCGCGTGAACCGCCATCAGCGGCGCGCCTTCGGGCGCGACCACCTGGCTCTGGATGCGAGGACTCACCGCGAACTGCAACTTGAACTAGTCCGCCGCCGTTTTGCCTGACGTCTTGCCGAGCCAGCAGGCTCGAATGCGGCAGTGGCGCACGTGCTCCTCCAAGACTCTCGGCGTATTGGTCATGTCCTCCGTGGCCGTCTGGCTCCGGTAGCGCTTGAGGACCGCCGCTGCGTGCTGCTTCGCTCGGTCGGGAGCCGACGCCATCGTCTCCAGGAAGTGCGCCACCGACGCCATGAATATATGGGGCCACGGTGGCCCGTTGCCGCGCTGCTCCCCCTGCTCTTTGCGATATGCTGCATAATATTGCCCTGCTTGCTGCGTCGCTTCGACGAGGGGCGCGGCCGCTGGTTGAAGAAAACAAGTGAACGCAGCGCCCGTGATTTCCGCGAGATCTCCTGCGCTGGTGAGAGAAAGCCTGCACAATACTGTGAGCAAGGCCGCCATGATGCCGCCGTCGTTGCACTTGAGCTCCTGGCGCCGTGCTTGGTCCACCACGGTCTGCTCTAGGCGCCGCCGAGCCCCGCCGCTGCCTGGTGCCGCTGCGCTCGCTCTGCGCTTGCCCAGCGACCACGACCACGCTGGCGCCGATGCCATTGCTCCCGAACAGAACTAGAAGATGAGCGAAGTGGCTACGAAGGGGCTGTGAAAGTTTGGTCGGGCCAGCAATCTGAGCCTCACATAAAGGGCAATCTGAAATCAAGGGGGTAGACGCGCGAAATATCGTATTTCTGCGAACCGTACATATTCCACTCTGAAGTGAATCAACTACGCGTTTGTAAGCTGATTTCCTGGACTCGAAGACGCTGTTACATACAAAACATTGGTTGTTGACCAACGCCGTGCCGATCATAGATTTGAGGCCATGATAACTGCGTAGATGTGCAAGGGCTTGCCGTTTGCTCTGGAACCTTCTGAGGCGCCCCTGGACCGTGCATCCATATTCTCCGTCTTCAGTCGGGGGCTCTGGAGTCTCTTGAGGGCCCTCAGTAGATGGGGTCCAATTGGGTGGCGGAATCCAAAGTGGGAAATGCTGCTCGAATCTCGTTTGCATCAAAGAACGTGAACCAATCGATCAGCTCTGGGTCGGAAAGCAAGCGGCGAGGCTGCCCGTCGAATAACTGCGCCACGCTGTGCTCTTCATCCCCAAGCTCTGCCAGAGAACAAACATCATCCGCGAATCTGCGAGCCCAGGGGCAGGCGGCCTCGCTGGGGCGCGCCTCGCCATTCACAATGCACAGGTTATTCGCGAGTTCGGCTCGCAAGCGCTCCCCAGTCTGCTAGGTGTGCTCTTGGTTTAGCCACCCATGTCTGATGCCACCTGATGCGTCTAGCTTTGAGCTCCGGTTCCACTGGAGACATCTGCCAATAACGATGAACCTGCATGTTGGACATCGAAACCTTGTGGCCGTCCTGCTCATAGGTAGCTCCTCCTCTCACTGCCCTGCTCGCGTAATGTCGCGCTCCAGTTTGCAGCGCGCGTAGGAAAGCTTCTACTCCTGATGATGCTGGGCCCAGGACTCGGTATATACATATATATAGAGAGAGAGAGAGAGAGAGAGAGAGAGAGAGAGAGAGAGAGAGAGAGAGAGAGAGAGAGAGAGAGAGAGAGAGAGAGAGAGTGAGGGGGGAAAAAAAGAAGAGCGCAAAAAAAGACCGCGCGCCCCTCGACGGGGGGGATTCCACACTGGTACCAGTATCTGCCCATACTATGAAACGCTGCGCCCATGGCTGCCAGCCGTGCTGGAAGCTCGATGTTAAACGCGCAGTCGGATCGAATGAGACCGCCCAGCACCCTGGCGAGGTCGCTCGGCGCGCCAGCTGCGGGCAGAGCTCGGGATTTAATCTGAGAGCCAGCCCCGAAAAGCACGAGCACAGTCTCGTTCTTGGCAGGGTTGAGGAGGTAGTTGCGGGCAGGGAGGCTTCTAGAGAGGAGGGTGTTGTAGGAGAGAGACATCTGACTTAGCTCCTCGTGACTCTGTGCCGCGCTCGCTGCCGAGACCGAAGTTTGTGTAGCATCATCTACGTACGCGTGGAATGGAGGGTCAATCTCAATGGGCTCTTCATCCTCCTCAGCAGGCGGTGAACCCACGATGCACCAATCTGCCGCGATCTCCTCACTACCGATGAACTCGTCCTGGGTCTGCTCGAAAACTGTGCCATTGACCCGAGTGAAAACCTTGACGGCCCACGGGCCCCCCTGGAGTGCTCCCGCATGAGGCTTGGCGAACAGGGACTCGTCAAGACCCTGGGAGGCAACGGCGGATGTTTGAAACCTTTGTTCTCCATACTTGGCCTCCTGAGACTTCATAGTGCCCCCGCTGGCGCTGGCGTGGTGCGCCCAGTCGGTGCTGCCGAAGGTAGTGCTTATATCTTCGTGATCCCGGATGTGCTGCCAACCGAGCCCACGGAAGCGCCAGCTCAAATTTTTCTGAATCATCATGCGCGTCTCCCGCCTGCGACTCGCCACGCAGCCGCGTGCAAAAAGGGGCTCGCGATCACGCTGGTCAAGGCGAAGCCCTGCGGCGATGAAGGCCCTGCCGAACGGGCACAACACGTGCACGAGGCGCTTGGCATTGATGGCAATGCCCCCCGATAAATGCCACACCGCTGGAGTCTGGCCAGACCTATAAACTCGGCGCCGGAAGACCCTCAGGTAATAGCTAATCCATGTCTGATCAACTTGTGACCTCTCGCACCCCAGGCCTCGGAAACTGTTGGAGATCCTTCTGCGCGGGTGCAAGAGCACCCAGGAGAGCTCCAGGGGGAGGGGCCATGGGGGAGCCGCTCTGCGTTTACTCGCCTTCCGAAGGTATCTGGAAATGAGTTGGGGCTTCTCAGTGGCCCATTGGAGTCCATCTTGAGTGTCGGGAAACAAGCAATCCTCCGTCTCCAAGCCAAACTCGGGGTTGTTCAAGGAGTCCTTCGTCTCCCAAAACCAATCAATAATAGCTGCCTGAAGACCAGCTTCACTAGAGGGCAGCTGGAGCCTGGCCTTGAGCTCCTCGGGGCAAGGAACCGACGCGACAGCATACCTAGAATTGCGCCTCTTGGGGCCAGTGCCCCGAGCCGATAGCAGCCTGGAGAGACGAGCAACTTCAGCTTTACGATCCTGCTTGTGGGCCTGAATACGCTGATCGGTGATGCCTTGCCTCCAAAGACTGAGGTACTTACGCCAGGTCCTACGAAGATCCCTGGTGAGGCCCTTGAGCTCCTGGGTGAGCCTGGCTATCTCGTTCATGTGCTCGGCTGCTCCGAAATGTCCCCGAAGTTGGCGACGCCGCCTGATACGAATTTTCATGTGGTCCGAGCGCTGCTTATAATCTTCCGACGGGGAAGGCTTCTGAGTGAGATGGTCAGCGCCTGCCTCATTCATCACAGTCAACAAATATGCCCAATCCTTGTTGGGAGTCTGCTCCTGTCGTTGAAACTGCCTCCACTAGTCAATGTCCGTCGATGTGCGCTCCTCAATTGTGTTACGAAGCTGTGCTCTGTGAGTGCCACGGCGTAACCCATCCATGAGAGAATCTCGGCTCCATCTGCATTTAGATTGAACAAATCCAAGTTGGGGATGATCGTCCACCCGCGAGGGCAGACAAAGAGTATCTGTGAAACTATACACCATGCGCGCGTGAACAGGAATGTGGTCCCGCGGCGTACGTGCTGCAATGGCCTGGAGTGAGCGCCCCATCTTGCGCAAGGGGCCCGCCGTCTTGACCGTGTTGAGCGCACACCGCGGCACTGCGAGGTAATCAAACTGACTGCCCTGGCCTTTCACATTGTAGTAGGTGGGGCCGTACCCATGGTGGGTTGTGAGCACCCTCGAATCGAGCATCTCCAGGAAGGGGATGAGAGCTTCGGCCGAGTAACGCTGGCGCACCGCGTCGTGCCGAGGGCCCACCGCTTGGCTGCTCACCTGTAGCCACAGCTCCGTGCCTTCGAGCTTGGTGAGCCCAAACCCAGAGTTGAGGTCGGTGCCGATCACAGGGAAACATCTGTGAACACTCCAGAAAGGCAGCGACCTGAGCCAACCAATGAGAGAATCACATGTCTGATAACGCGACAGGCCTTTGCTGGTACAGGTGGGAAATAAATCGAAACCGCTGCAATGTCAGACTGTTAGCTGCGAGCACGAAGTGCTACGCCTTTGCCTGCTGCCGGTGCCACCCAAGTCTGAACCACCGAGCTGCGCTTGATCTGCGGACCAAGGATAATGGCACACCAACAAGACTTGTTGCTGTGAGGGGAACGAGCCCAGCCAGCGTCTAGGCACCATCGCGTGCCTGCACGTCGCCATGCAGCCACACCAGCTGGGCCATATCGTCGCACTCCCGTTCCAGTGAGACAAGTAAAATCGAAATTCCGAGAAAGATCTGCGACGTCCTGCATGCGATCAGAAGTGCTGGCATACACGGGATTGAATTGAAGGATGCTCAGAGTGTGCTTGGTGGCCCCCTCCAGCGCCGTAGACATCCTGCGGATGGCCGAGGCTGCACTGGCCACCGTGGGCCCTCAACTCTATCAAGTGAGAATTCAAGGGAAACGCGCTGCCTCGACTGAACGAGCGCCGAAGAGGTAGCAGGAAGGGGCTAACTTAAGGTACGGTGGACGGATGTGTTGTCAGCCCTGCAGAGCCGACGCTTAGGAGGAGGAGGGGGAGGAGGAGGAGGAGGAGGAGAGGAGGAGGAGGAGGAGGAGAGTGGGGGCAGGAAGAAGGAGGGGGGCGCATCATGGCCTGAGGCGTGTGCGCGGACGCCTGGGGGGGGGGGGGCAGCAGAAGTGTCGAGGGAAAAGAGGGAACCATGACGTCTGCGAGACTGCATGCGGCATGATCGTGTCGTGACGGACAAGGCGTTCTCCTCCTCCACCTCCTCCTCCTCCTACTCCTGCTCCTCCTCCTCCTCCTCCTCCTCCTCCCCCTCCTCCTCCACGTCCTCGTCCTCCTTCTCCTCCTCCTCCTCCTCCTCCTTCTGCTCCTCCTCCTCCTCCTCCTCCACGTCCTGCTTCTCCACCTCCTCCTCCTCCTCCTCCTCCTCCTCCTCCTCCTCCTCATCCTCTTCCTCCCTCTCCTTCTCCTCCTCATCCACATCCTCCTCCTCCTCTTCCTCCTCGTGGATCGTTCGTCCCTGAACGGTCGGCGTCTTTTTGATCGCCAGCTCGTTCGACTCCGGGCCTCACTGGCGGCATTCCGTCTTGAACCACCCACCGCGGCGGGGCCGCCACCGCGCTGGCACGGCACGCGGCCCCGGCCGCGGCGCGATGCTGCTGGGAGGAGGGGGGAGGAGGAGAGCCGAGGTGCGAGGCGGGGATGTATCTGACTACCTACTAGACCACCCCAACCCAACCCGAAGACCCGAATTTCGGGTTGGGGGGGGGGGTAAGGGTTCCACATGTGTTTTTTCGATGTTTCCCGACCCCCCCCCACTGGAAATCGAGGGTAAATCTGGGCCTTCGGGTTGGGTTGGGGTGGTGAGTATCCGTATCCACCGCCCGGGAGCCGACGTCCTGGTGCCCCAGCGGGCGGTGGACATGGACGTGTGTTGGCCCCCGGGGGGCCCGACTATGTTACGTCCATGGCCACCGCCTGCCGAGGCTCCGAAAGCAGCTGACCTCTCCAGGCGGTGGTCATGTGTATACATTCCCGCCTCGGGTGAGGAGGAGGAGGAGGAGGAGGAGGAGGAGGAGGAGGAGGAGAAGGAGAGCGGGCACCCGATGGTCGTCCCGCATGCGCGTGGAGTCAGCCACTGGGGGGAAATCTCGATACACAAAATTGTTCAAGCATCGTCTCGGTCACGGCCATGATCGATCACCCACTCCGTCCTGCCTCTCATGACAATCGGCGTTTCTCGTTTATGACATTTCGCTCAACAAGCGCATCAAAGCTGTAACATGTATATGCCGTCTCGCCGATTGTTCTGAACGCGCCCAAGTAGACGAAGCCAGCACCGCGGCAAACCTCACTGCAACCCTTGCGTCCGAGGCAGCGATTGCCCTGGTGGCAGAACGGCCACCCCCCAAGACCAAGGAACAAACGTCGCGGCGACATATGATCAGCGAAATAGAGGAAGAAGCGCAGCAGGCTGAGGCCGAGGCGGAGAAGACGAGGGCGGCAGTTCTGCGAAGATCGGAGCAGAAGAAGGCGCGGTTGGATGCGAGTGTAGAGTGGGAAGCAGCTACACCCCTGCTTCGAGGTGAAACAAAATGAAGCCAGGAACATGTACGTCACTCAAAGCGGTTCCTCAAACGATTGCCCAGGTCCAGGTATACGGAAATGGGACGAGGAAACAGGGCACTCCGAGGAAACGCACTGGGTCCGGTGCATAGTGGGTGGCTTCTGATCGGAAGTCTGGGGCCCATGAACGTTCACACTGCTTCTGTAAGACTTCTGCTGCGTGTCGGGTGGAGGGCCAGTCTTCAACCTCCTTTCCGACGCCCCCCTTGGTCGAGGGTCGAGGGAGCCAGCTGCCCAGCGCGTCCAGCGCGCCCCACGCCGCCGCAGGGCAGAGCAGCAGGCAGCTCTCCTGCGCGGGGGGGAGAGCGGGAGGAGGTGGAGGACGAGGCCGATCACCAAACTTCGAAGCCGACGGTCCCAGGTCCTGAGGAGGAGGAGGAGGAGGAGGAGGAGGAGGAGGAGGAGGAGGAGGAGGAGGAGGGGGAGGGGGAGAAACATGAGGAGGTGAATGGAAAGGGGGGGCGAGGGCGGAGAGGGGGGAGGAGGAGGGGCAGGGAAGGGAACGCAACGACACGGGACGACTACGATCCTAAACGTAGGCCCATGGGTGGTAGCGCCGTGCTACCGGTTGAACAGAACATGGCAGGATCTTCCCATTGCCATTCGAAGGGCAATAACCCGCGACCCCGCTGGGGGGGGAGTCCTCTGGCCCGGAGCAGGACCAGCCACGTGGGGAAAACCCGCGATGGCCTGCAAGGGCACCAACCTCCCAGTAGGCGCCCTGGGGCGAGGATTCGTACGCCCATCCCAGTTGAACTCTACTCGGCTACTGCCCAACAGCGAGGACGAACGGAGAGCGCAAGGCGGGGGGGAAGGACGGGCAAGAAGAAAGGGGGCACACACGCACCAACACACGCACACCCAGACACCACACGAGGCCAGGAAAAGAGCAGAGCAGGCAGCAGCAACAGCCGAGCAAGGGGAAAAGGCGAGGAAAGGAGGAAAGCAAGCATAGCAGCGGAGGGGGCAGTGGCTACACGCTCGAAAAGAATCCGATCGCCCCCGCTCAACCGTTCGGCCACTGTTCCAAGAGAAGCAAGGCCCGTGCTGTGAAATAACGTCCATCAATCGCCAGTCACGCAAGGCACACTCCTATGGTTCAAATCTGTATTGAAAAAGCTCTTGAAGAGTATATTGGCAATTACCGTGCTCCATCAGCCAGTAAAGAGAAAAGTCCACCCACATGCTGTGGCGTACAATGTTCTGTATGTCCTTTTCACATACGTCGAGATCTCCCAACTCCGCGCCTCAGGAGCAAGACAACGCTGCACAGCTTACATTTTTCAAGCACGGCGGCGCAGTCAGCGCCTCGAAAGCCCACGAGACGAAAATAGCAGATTGCTCCGTGACGCTGGCCTGATCTTCCAGGCATGGTAGCGACGCAAACACCTGAAAGGCCAAGTGAAAGTGGCGTACTGCTCCGCGACGACTTGAAGCTGAACAGCCACACGCTCAGCCAACTCTTCCGCTGCGTTCGGATTCCCTTCCAGGTCAAACGAGGTGCACTGTGCTCTGTCAAAGTCTCTGTCCGTAATGCCAGCCGGCGCCCTATACAGCAGAAACTTTATGTTCATGCCAGCTATCAAACACTTCCGGGCGTGCGTGCAGCGGGCGCGAGCTCGCCGACGGGAAGATGCCGATGTAGGAGCCGTCAGAGTAATGGTCGCGCTCGGGGGCGGCACGATATCAGACTGAGGATTGAACTGAGGCTCGCAAACACCTTGCATAACGACTCCCACCCTGCAGCCCGCAGCCGCATTGCTTCTCACGCGATGCCCTGCCATAAGGGAGACAATCCAAGAGAGAAGTGCGATGCAACCGAGCAGAGAACCGAATATGTAAGCGGCTGAGAGCGGTGTGGCTCAGTATCAGAACTGGCTCCAAAGTCCTGACGTATACGCTAAACCGAACCTCCTGCTCGCAGAGGCCAAGGTGTCTAGAAACTTTGCTAAACATGGCCCTTCGACCTGCCGAAGAAGAGGAAGAAGAGACTACATGCATCCCCCCCCTCCTCCTGCTCTCTCACCGGTGCGAAAGACCTCCACATGAACCGCCGAAGCCAGCTCTTCTGCTCGCGCCCTCCACGGCGCCCCCTCGGGCCAGGGCGTGCGTGTACTCGCTTGTCTCCTGACCCTGACAGGACTGGAATGTATCGCGCAGCTGTTCAGGACGGCCCAGGCAATAATGAGGGAACATCGTGGGAAATCGCGACCAGAGCTGTTCAGCCCACCGTTATGGGGCATTTCCAGGGCCAGATCTATCCACCAGGGTCCTGAGGATCGAGATGGAGCAGGAACATCCGTCGTGCCCTTTTGGCTTGCGACGCCTGGGCACCCTTTTCTCCGAGCCGCGCCCAGCCTTGACGACAACGCATCCGAAGCCTTCGAAAACCGCTGAAAACCGTCACTCATGCCGTCCCTCCGTCCATCCCTCTGGGAGATGCACTCCAGCTAGAACTCCTCCTCATGCTCCTCCTCCTCCTCCTCCTGCTCTTGCTCCTCCTCCTCCACCTCCTCCTCCTGCTAGCCATTCAGTTCCCAAGCGGCCCACCGTGAACGGGGCCCGCAAGGGCGACCTGCGCGCCAACTTCGGAGTGGCCATGCGCACAGGGGCAACCATCGAGAGGCGCGGGTCCCAACACCATCAGCCACCATGCTGAGGTCCGGCGCGCACGCGGCCTCCCGGAGTCTTCTCACTCAACGCCTGGTTCTCCCACCCCCCCTTCCCCCCTCTTCCCTCTCCGGCAGCCCCAGCCACCGCGGCGCCGCTGCACGAGTGCAGGCAAGGAAGCGCAGACTTGCGGGCAGGGGCAGCAGGGGCATCCATCCGCCACACTGCTGGGATCAGCTGGTGCAGCAGGGCTGGACCTAAACGTTGTTGTTCGTTTTGTTTTGGTTTTGTTGTTCGTTTTGCTCTACCTGTTTTCCTGTACCTCCCTCCCAAAACGAATGACAAAACACAGCCGAAGTCCAGCAAAACAGCGTTTAGGTCCAGCCCTGTCGTACAGGGCGACAGGCAGTGGCAGCAGGCGCAGCCGGTGCCAAAAAGGCGGGCAGCGGCAGCGCACACTGTCGGTACCGACGGGCGGAGCAGCGAAGCCAGGGTCCCCATCAGCTACATTGGTGTCGGGGGAAGCTCAGGAGCGCAAGGAGGCCGTGGCAGCTTCCATCACTGCGAGAAGGCGGGCAATGAGCGCCGTATCAGCTACAACGCTGGGAGTAACTCATGCGAGAAGCGCGGCGGTCAGCGGCATATCAGCTACAACGCTGGGAAGACGTAGTTCGCGCGGGAAGGGCGACAGTGAGCGACACATCAGCCACAATGCGGGGAGCAGCTCGTGCGAGAATGACGACAGTGAGCGACATATCAGCTACAACGCTGGAAAAGGTCGGGCAGAAGAGCAGCCGAGAGCGACACATCAGCCACAATTCTGGGAGTAGTTCATGCGAGAAGTGCGGCGTTGAACGGCATATCTATCCTGCAATGCCTGATCAGCGCATGCGAGATGGCACGGGAGGAGCTCGGCCCGGGGCGGCTCCCAGCGCTCCCGGGACTCCCCAGGCGGCCCTCGACGGTCGCCGGCGTTCCTGGGGCGGCCCTGGACGGCCGCCAGAGGGCTCCAAGACGGTCCAAGACGGCTCAGAGCCGCTCAAGAGTGCGCCCGAGCGGCGCAAGCGAGCCCCAAAGCAGCCTAAGACGACCCCCGCACACAATTGCCAGGAGACTCCCAAGATGGCCCATGAGGACCCCGACGACGGCCCGACACGTTCAAGCATACATGTTCTAATCGTTCTTGAATGATTGTCATATTCTCCCGCTATCACGCCCAGAACAACCTCAGACGGCTCCAGGGCCCTCCCAGATCGCCCCAACACGACCCACGAAGCCTCGAAGAGGGCCCCAAGACGGCGCAAGAACGGCCCAAGATAGCCTCAAGACTGCCCAATAGAGCCTCAAGTGCCTCCCAAGACAGCCCCAAGAGGGCCCCCGGAGCTGCCCACAAGAGCCCAAAGCGGGCTCCCGGACCCCAAACATGGCCCCAAGACGGCCCAAGAGGCCCCCAAGACGGCGCAAGAGACTCCCCAGATGGTCCAAGGAGGCCCCCCGATGCCCTCGACAGGCCCCCAGGAAGCCCCGAAGAGGGCTCCAAGAGTGGATGGAACGCAACAGAATGGTAACAGAAACCGCTTCTGAATTGAACGTGCTGTTCTGTTAAACTTCTGCTAATTTGGGGGACCTCGTGGGCGCGACTTCGAGCATCGGAGAGGCTCGCAGGGAGCTTCCAGGGGGCTCAGGAGTGCTCCGAGAGGAAGATTAGCAGAAATATAACCGAATACACTTCCTGGTTGCATGTCCTGTTCTAATAATAAATGTCGGTTATATTTTGGGGTTCTCTTGGGCCCAGTGAGGCTCGCAGGGGACACGCAGAGGGAGCGAAGAGGGCTCCAAGACAGCCCAGGAAACCCCGAGGGGAACCCAAAAAGGCACCACCATTATCAGTAATTTAAAAGAAACCGCTTTCTGATGGAACACTCTGTTATGTTGAATGTCTGTTGAATTGGGGACCCTCTTGGACACTTCCTGGAACTCTGGAGCTTCGACGAGCTGTTCGGCTTCAACGAGCTGCTCTGAGGGTAAATCCACGGTCTGCGAGTCCCAGGTTCAGCACGCCGTGAATTTACTCCACGGGTGCAAACTAATCAGCTACAATGCCCGGAATAGGTCGTGCGAGAAGGGCGGCGGTGAGACACACAGCAGCTCCGACGCTGGGAGAAGCTCGTGCGAGAAAGGGGGCAGTGAGCAACGTATCAACTACAACGCTGGCAAAGCTCGTGCGAGAAAGGCGGAAGTTGGCGAAAGACGGCCAGAACGCTGGGAATAGTTCGTGCGAGAAGGGTGGCGGAGAGACACGCATCAGCTTCGACGCTGGGAGAAGCTCGCGCGAGAAGGGGGGCAGTGAGCGACATATCAGCTACAACGCTGGGAAAAGCTCGTGCGAGAAGAGCAGCCGGGAGCGACACATCAGCAACAGCGCTGGGAGTAGTTCATGCGAGAAGGGTGGCGTTGAGCTGCACATCAGCGACAATGCCGCGAGCAGTTCGTGCGAGAGGGGCGGCTCCGACGCTGGGAGGAGCTCGTGCGAGACGGGAAGCAGTGAGCGACAGATCGAATAGGACGCTGGGAGTAGTTCATGCGAGAATGGCAGGAGCAGCAGGTGTATAATCAACCTCCGTACTCGCCAGAGGGAGCAGCCGGGTACGAGCATCACCAGCGACACAGATGGGAGCCGAACGTGCGAGGAGAAAGGCAGTGGCAGCACGGCCTGTCGTTCACTCAGGAAGGGGTCGGCAGTGACACATCAAGTACCACGCTGGCAGCAGCTCATGCAAGAAGGGCGGCAGCGGGCGAAGGACAGCTATAATGCTAGGAATAGTTCATGCGAGAGGGAAGGCAGCGAGCGGCATATCAACTACAACGCTGATAAAAGTTCGTGCGAGAAGGGCGGCAGTAAACGACACATCAGCTACAACGCTGGGGGTAGTTCATGCGACAAGGGCGGCATTGAGCGTTAGATCAGCTAGAATACTGGGTGTAGTTCATGCGAGCCTGGCGACGATACGATAGGGTGTGCGAGCGTGCACTGCAGGCTCGCCGGAAAGCTCGAGCGGCACCGGCAGTTTCAGCTCGGAAGTTTGATTTCTCCCCCCGTCATATCGCTCAGGGAGGGCCTGGGGGAAGGTGGTGCTTCCTTGCTCGAGCTATAATTGGTTCACTGGCCCCTGCTATAATTGGTCACTGGCCTCCTCCTCCGCTTCTGCCTTTGCCTGGTCCTCCTCGACCCCCCGTCGCTTCCCATCCCCATCCTCCTGCCCATCCTTGTCTCCTCCGCATGCCCCGCCTCGTCCCCGTTCTCGCCTAGCTATTCCTCCTCCTCCTCCTCCTCCTCCTCCTCCTCCAACTCCGCCTCGTTATCCTGCGTCCCCTCCTCCTTCTCCTCCTCCTCCTTCTCCTCCTCCTCATCCTGTATAGCTCACCTTCTACCTAACTCCTCCCTGTCGCGCCCGCAGACGTATCTGCAGGGCGGGCCGGGCGCTTTGCCTGAGGCTTCCTCACCCATTATGATCCTGAAGCTCTCAAGCTGTGGATCTTGCCTAAGCCCCGCGCACATTCGGATTAAGGGCTTGCAGCAGTTTCAAGCATGGAGGGCGGCCCGTTTGCAAAAGGTGGCTCTCGCCTCAGCGCCGCGCCCATTCGTCTCAAAACTTTGCACTCGTTTCAAAGATGGGGGCGGCATCTGTTCAAAATGTTGCTCTCGCCTTTGCGCCGCGCGCATTCGTCTTAAACGTTTACAGCCAGTTTCGGAAATGGAGGGCGGCTTCTTTGTCTCAAGTGTGTTATCGCCTTAGCGATGTGCACCTTCGTCCTACATGTTCGCAGCAGTTTCAAAATTTCGCATGGTTGACGTCCCAAGAATGGTGTTCTGGCACGGTTGAGGATTGTCCCGAAACATCCATCACGTTGTTTCGCAGTGCTGAAGACCCAGGAACGGCGTTCTGGTACGACTTAGGGATGTGAGGGCGCAACGGTGACGTACGTTGACTCGCGGCGTTGAGGTCCCATCATGGCGGTTTGGCACGATTGAGGATTCTCGAACGGTTATTTTCCGATGGGGCACTTCCCGCAATACAATTACACTATTGTAAGGACCTAACAAACGGGAACCTTGGAGGAAGGGTTTATTGCAGCATCGTTGATGCGTCTTGGGTTTACACTGGTTCTCCTCCTCCTCCTCCTCCTCCGCCTCTCCCTCGCCATCCCTCGCCCCCCCCTTCTCCGCGCGCTGCCACTCTTGGGGGCTGGATTTTGGAGCCCAACGACCTCGCCCAAGACGCAGCGCTGCGAGTACACCTCAGATAGAGGGCACGCATCCGCGCCATGGCGGCGGGAGAAAAAGCAACGATACTGGACGAAGAACAGAGAGGAACCCGGAACACTTCGCGTCGTGACAGAAACACACGACCGACAGTGTTTTGCCATTTCCTGCCTCAGGGAGCCCTCACTGGGCCCAGCAAAAGACTCGTGACGCAAAGCCGGCCCCGGGGAAGTGGTCCAGACCTTCGGGGGTTCCCGTCGTGAACAGAAGACACGGCGTCGGCGGTCGGAAGAGGAGCAGGAAGAGGACCACGCCCTCCTCCTCCTCCTCCTCCTCCTCCTCCTCCTCCTCCTCCCCGTCGCCCTCATCATCGTCCTCCTCCTCCGCCTCCTCCTCCTCCTCCTCATCCTCCTCCTCCTCATCCTCCTCCTCCTCCCCGTCGCCCTCATCATCGTCCTCCTCCTCCTCCCCGTCGCCCTCATCCTCTCCTCCTCCTCCGCCTCCTCCTCCCTCCTCCTCCTCCTCCTCCCCTCCTCCTCCTCCTCCTCCTCCTCCTCCTCCTCCTCCTCCTCCTCCTCCTCCTCCTCCTCCTCATCGCCTTCATCAGCGTCCTCCCGGCCTCGACCCTGCAACTGCGCCTGCCCCTCTGCCCAGCGGCGCCGACGGGCGGCCCACGGGCGTCCACAGGCGGCCCACGGGCGCCCACAGGGGGCCCACACGCTCTCGCGGGCGTGGAGAGGCGTGCGCGAACGCCCGCAGGAGCTCACACGCGCGCGGAGCAGGCGCTCACTGTGGGGAGCACGGGTGGGCTGGGGAGGTCAGCCAGGAACAAGTCCCGAAGGGCCTCTGAGCTCAGACTCCCCATTCGAATCGCGCGCATTCTTATGAAGAGCACTTCCTCGACGCGGAGATCCCCGCATGTGCATCTCGTACTCCCGCCACAACTCTGTCTATGAGCATCTGGGTGTGACAGCGAGTCCGCGTAGACGACAGGCGCGGCGATGACGAGGACGACAGTGACGACTTCAGAGACGTCCTCCTCCTCCCCCTCCTCCTCCTCCTCCTCCTCCTCCTCCTCCTCCTCCTCCTCCTCCTCTGGACATCTTGCAGGAGAGACGAGAAAAACAAAAGTGGAAAAAACGAGGGGGAGTCCCACCAGCCCTCTGGGCGTCGGTGGCGTAGGGAGTTTCCTCTTCCACCCCTCCTTCCCCTTCAGGGAGGGGTTTACCCCTCCCCCTACCCCCTCCCCTGGACCTGGACGGGGGGGGGTCGCGAGTCGTCGGAGCGTCCAAAACGGCCTCGGTGTGGAAGCCAAAATCATTGGTTGTACCAAAAGTGTTGGCCCCATTTTGGCCTCCTGAGGGGGGGGGGGGGGCCAAATTGACGCTCCCCTCTTGTTTGATCGATCTCCTCCAAGATGGCCCCAAGAAGCGCCCAGGAGGCCCCAAGAGGTCCCAAGATGGCCCCAAGATGGCCCCAAGAGGCCCCCAAGAGGCCCCCAGGAGGCGCCCAAGAGACCCCCAAGAGGCCCCAAGAGGCCCTCCAGAGGCACCCAAGATGCTCCAAGAGGCCTCGGCGAGAATGCCAAATCATTAGTCATACGAAGGTTTTAGCCACATGTTGGTCCCTTGGGGGGGGCACTGATTAAGATGACTCTAAGAGCGCCTGGGAGAGCCCAACGTGACCTCCAAGATGGCTCAAGATATCCCAAGATGTCTCAGAATGGCTTCCTTTGTGTGCTGCCCACTTCCCTGATCGAGGCAAATCCTCTGGGCATCTTTTCTGGATGGGCTGGTGGGGATCATTTTTTCGGTCGCGTCCGCTAGCGAAAGCGCTAGCGGAGTCAGAAGCGCTACGGGTCACGACAGCGGCCTAAGCTGGTGGGGATCCGCGAAGCGTCAACAATTCTTCTGTGACTACCTACCAGGCCGCCCCAACCCAACCCGAAGACCCGAATTTGACCTGAATTTCGGGTTGGGGGGGGGGGTACGGGTTTCATGTGTTTTTTTTTTTTTCAAAGTTCCTCGACCCCCCTCCACTAGAAATGGAGGGCAAATTGAGGCCTTCGGGTTGGGTTGGGGTGGTTTGGTGGGTGGTGATTCTTACCGTCCTCCCCGCGGCAGCGCCAGCAAGCGCGCATGGCGTTGCTACGTCCGCTCTCTTGCACTTGGGGTGCCCAAAGGCCACGCCGACTATATCGCGGTAGCCATTTGCGTGGGAGCCTCAGTGCGCGTAAAATTGAGCCTGGGTGATCTTAGTGTGAGCGAGTCGGAGTGGTAATGGATACGGATACGATCAAACCTGAGTGTGCGTGAATATGGATATAGACAATGCGAGTGCGAGTAAGCCAAAGCATGAATGACTCGGAGTGTGAGCGTGTTGATTACAACTATGAATATGAACGAGTCTGGGCGCGAGGTAGTCTGAGTACGAGTGAGCCTGAAGGCTGGTGAGTGTGAGTGTGAGTGGGTCTGAGTGTGAGTTGGTCTGGGTGTGGGTGGGCTTGCTTCGAGCGAATCGAAGTAGGAGTGAATGATACCCACTTGGCGCCCCGTTGGTGGTGCTGAAGCAAGCGCCTCGCCTGAGACATTCTCACTATCTGTGTGCGCGAGTGGTTCTGAATATGAGTGAGTCTGAATGAGGAAATGATGCGGCTGAGTCTGAGTCAGGAATAACGCGTCTAAGTATGAGTGAGTCTGAATGATGAGCGAATCCGAGTGCGAGTGGATATGCATGAATCGACTGTGGCGAGCGAGGCTGGGCGAGGAAGACGAGGATGGGTGTGAGGTGAGGAGTCGGCGCGGTCATATAAGATTTACTCGGCGCGGAGATTCCCACATGTGCATCTCGTACTCTCGTCACGCTCCGCTGATTAATTCTGTCTATGAGAATGCGAGGGTGAAAACGAGTCCGCGTGAACGACAGGCGCGGCAACGATGACGACGACAGCGACGCCTTCAGAGACGTCCTCCTCCTCTGGACATGTCTAAGGTGAGACGAAGACAACAAACATTGAAAAGAAAGGGAAAATTCCTACTGCCGTTTTTCCCGCGGCCACTGACGCAAGCGCGCATGACGTTGCTACACCCGCCATCTGGCGTGTTACTCGCGGCGCCTGCTGGCATTTAGGGTACCGGGTACCCAAGTGCCAAGCTGGAAATATCGCGGTAACAATTTGTGCGTGAGCCTGAGCGCGAGTGAATCTGAGCGAGGGTGATCTGAGTGTGCGCGAGTCGGAGTGTGAGGGGATCCCGACTTCATCGGGCCTGACAGTGAGTGCGTCTGGAGATATTCCGTATGAGTACGACTGGGTCTGAGTATGAACAATCCTGAGTGTGAGAGAGTCTAAGTGCGAGTGGGTCTGCGTGGATGAATCTGACAGGTGGTGAATAGGACTTTGAAGATGACGAATACACATCTGAATATGAGTAAGCCTGGATGAGAGAAGTTTGAGTCTGAGTGAGTCTGAAGCCTGGTGGGTCTGAAAGCGAGTGACAGTGAGTGTGAGTTGGTCTGGATAGGGGTTTGAGATTGCGCGAGTCTGAGTATGAGCAAGTAAATGCGTACGCGTGAGTCTGAGAATGATCGAATCTGGATATGAGAGAGTCTGAACGTGACGAGTGAGTCTGGCTGAATGAATGGTGATGGTGAGAAGGTCCGAATGTGATTGAATGCGTCCGAGTGGGGAAAGAAGGGAAGGAGGTGAGTGAGTGCGTGAGCGAGGAGCACACAAATCCAAAGAACAGTCTTGGGGGGGTGGGCAGAAACGAGCAACCCGCCTGAGACATCCCCCAGTCAGAACGCGAATCCTTAAATGTCCCCTCCCCTGGCGGCTCCGTCTTGGGGGTCTCAAATACCACGCCTGGTATATCACTGTGAACATTGAGCCGCGAAAAAACTGGGAAGGGGGGGGGCAGAAACAGAGCAACCGCCTGAGACATCCCCGCACTCTGAGCGCGAGCATCCCCACCCCTGTCGGTTCCTCTTTTGGGGTGCCCAATTTCGACGCCTCCTATATCGCGGTGAGCACCGGACCACAAAGGGAAATACATCTGGCGGACAGAAACAAGCAAACCGCATGAGACAACCGCAAAAACGAAACGCGAACCCAAGAGTGTCCCCACCCCTGGTGGCTTCCCCTTGGGGTGCCCAAGTCCCAAGCCTGCTATACCGCGGTGAGCAGTGGGTCCCCCCAAAAAATGTCTGAGGACAAAAGCCGGCAAACCGAATGAGACATCCTCACAATCTGCTCTGATAGCGAAGAATGTTGGGCACACGCACACACAAGCAAACTGCCTGAGACGTCCCCAAGGAAAACATGCAGGTGAGTCTGGGCCATGAAAAGCGAAACTGAACATAAGTGAGTCTGAATGATGAACGAGTCGGAGTGCAAGTGAGCCTGCTTGTAAATGAGTCAGAACACGAATGAGTCGAAGGTGTGGCGAGCTAGGCTGAATGAGGAAGACGAGGAAAAGAGAGGTGAGGCGAGGAGTCGACGCGGCCTTCATAATTAGTCGACGCGGAGCTCCCCATATGTGCATCTCATACTCCTGTCACGCTTCGCCGAAGCAATCTGTCGATGAGTTTCTGTCTGTGAGCTTGCGGGTGTGAGAGCGAGCCCGCGTAGACGACAGGCGCGGCCATGACGACGACGTCAGCGACGGCTTCAGAGGCATCCTCCTCCTCATCTGGACCTTCTTCAGGAGAGACAAGGAAAATAATGGAAAAAACGATAATGCGTAGTGCCGCTCTTCCCGAGGCAAGCGCGCATGGCGTTGCTACACCCGCCCTCTGGCGTGTTGTTCGCGGCGCCTTGCTGGCACTTGGGGTGCCCGAGTGCCACGCTGGAGATGTCGCGGGAACCATGTGCGCGAGAGTGTCAACGCGAGTGAGTCTGAGAGCGGGTTCTCTGAACGTGAGCGAGTCGGTGCGCGAGGGGATCGCGACATGATCGAACCCTAAAGTGGGTGGGCCTGGGTGTAGTCCGTGTAAATACGAGTGGGTCTGAGTACGAATGAATCTGAATGCGAGCGGG